GGCCAAATTGAAAGTACACTCTCAAATACATAATGACCAGATTTTTTCGACTCACCTTTTCAAATTTCCTTTTTCTTTCTTTGTCCTGTTCGAAAAAAAGTCAAAAGGACTTTATGAACCTCTTTCCCAAATGTTTAAAAAAAAAAACAATTGTAGTTTGTTTTTTTTATTGCGCAGTTTGTATTTGCTATTTGAGTTGCTTTTGTGTGATATTCTCTTTATTGTTTCATAAATGTTTTTTTCCTGTTTTAAATCAACATTTTGGCTTCAGTTTGTGTCAAATTTGTAACAGCGATATTTGCCTGTTCTTGAAAAACCTTTCAATTTCGTATATCAAAAATGATGTTTACTTTTACAAATAAATTTAAACTATAATTTTTTTTAAAAGGACGTTCTTAAACTGCGACAACCATGAAATATATCGTTACTTTCTCTTGTGACAAATGGGGTAATTTTAAATACCCGGATACAACGACGAGAGGATCAAGTGATGTGCATATTGTGCTTGTTTGTGTAGGCTGATTGGAGTGCCATTCCGTTTGGACTGCCACCTCATCGTTAGAGCCGGTGTTCCGTGAAATAGGGATCCTGAAAAGAGGAAAAGCCCGAAGAAAGATGAGCTCGTTGTGTCAGCAAAATAAAAACAAAGAGGGGAAAACAAGTGAAAAGGTCATTTGGTGATGACTTCCGCCATTTTAACATCATTTGTCTGTTGAGTGCACTGTGAGGTAGATGTGTCAGTGCATAAACTAATGTATGCCTGTGCGAAGGGTGGGGTGTGTGTTGTCGGATGAATTGTGGCGTGCGTGTTTCTGACAGGGAACGTTCGACTGGTAAGTTTCACAATAAGCAAGTTTATGTCGGCTCGGATATGTACATATAGCCTTATATGTCAATATATGTTTCCGTCTTTCTGGTAAGCTACACGTCTTACTCCAAACGCACAGCATTAGCATAAATATGACTCATATGGCCGTGAACACACATACACGCACACATCCGCAAAAATACACACACAGATGAAGCAGGCAAGATTCCTTCTCTCTCTCTCTCTCTCTCTCTCTCTCTCTCTCTATATATATATATATATATATATATATATATATATATATATATATATATCGGATGTGTGAAAATCGGTATTAACATTGAAATAGTGAGAATATTTTTCATCATTAAGCGCAATTTTCAAGTTATCACGTTTGCATTCCACCAAGGACTGTCACTATACAGTAGTATTGATATTTATGTCTACACTGCTTATATTTAAATACGCCCAGCCCCTGATAGTGAGCACTTTTCTGCCATATAGTAGACCTTAAAAAGGATATTTTGCAAAACGCGCGCCCGCACACACACACACACACACATATATATATGTATGTATGTATGTGTGTATAAAACAAATATATATATGTATGTATGTATGTATGTGTGTATAAAAATAAATATATATATATATATATATATATATATATATATATATATATATATATATATACGGATATATATAAGACAAAAGTCCTTAAACGAATGACTTTCCTAGGATCCGCCAGGTCTAACCCTCACGGCAAGAACCCGCCATGCCATTTTACATTGTAGCACACCATCCACATTCCCTTTGTATTCCATCAGTGAGAAGTAAGTTCCACTCGAACAGCTCTTCCCGCGAACCACTGCCCTGTGGAACAGACTACAAAGAGGATGTTTCCCCGATCACTACAATTTTAACCTGTTCAAATCTAGAGTTATCTTCCCCTCCTACCCGCATAAACTGCCCATTAACGTAACCCTCTACATCGAGTGCCCCCGGGCCTTGTTCAGGATGAACCGTACTGGAAAAAAAGACAGAAAAAGAGAAATAATGATTGAGTTAATGACAAAATGGAGTAAAAAATTCCCAGAGGAACTTCTTCAGACTAATAATTGTTTCATTGATGGAATCAGTATTTAAGTTTAGAGAGGAGCGTTTATGTATCTTTAACGTTTCGATGGAAACTGTAACTGACGTTTCTTGTATTTTCTCCTGTCTTTTCCACGCTTTTATATATAAGACTTATTTCATAAATAAGAGCAAAAAACAACTGAAAAGCTAATTGGGCATTGGCTTCCGACATTTTAACATCACTATACAAGATGGATCAGTACGGAATTTAGCGTACAGCTGCGCGAAGTTGGGCTGGGTTGTTTGGTTCTATCGTCGAATGAACTGTAACGTGAGTATTTCTGATCAGGAACGTTCTGGTTGTAAGTTTCAAGTTTTTTTAAAGCTTTTGAATCTTTCAATACTTGGTTTTTGATTGATTGTTCTAGCTTTTGTAACAATGTTTCCCCCTAGTGTAGGATCGTTAATTAATCTGAAACTTTTAAAACCATTTATTTTATTTTCAACATCATCACTTGATAAGACACAGAGTGTGTTGAAACAAAATGGCTATTTTTGTAGTGATTTTATAACATACTTATGTTATAAATTTTTTATAAAAAATAAAATATATATATATATATATATATATATATATATATATATATATATATATATATATATATATATATATATATATATATATAATACACATAGTTTCTACATATAGATAAACAGATTTCACTAATTTTAAGGCCCACGTTCATTTTGTGTGCATGTGTGTGTGTGCAAATCATGAGATACATATTTTATATACTTGGACATATGATAAAAGCATTAGTATCTAGTTCGATATATATATATATATATATATATATATATATATGTGTGTGTGTGTGTGTGTCGATTTGAAGCAAAGGTTCTTACTGCTTTTCAAATGGTGGCGTTTGGACAGGTGATTTTTTTTCGAACGTGAATGAAATTTATCAGATATCTATATTCTGAAAGGTTGCATTTCAATAAGTCTTTCTATCAGATTCCTTTAGGGATTGTGAGTGTTAATTGTTTATAGGTTAAAACTGAAAATGGAGGAAAATGCAATTCCTCCCTGATCTGGCGTCTCGTCTACAGTCACTCTCTCACAGACGCACCGTCGCCTCTCTCTGTCTTTTCTACAAATACTTTCATGGTAATTGCTCCGATGAGCTGCTTTCACTGGTTCCCAGACTCCATGAATTCAAGCGCCCTACAAGGCTAGCATCCCGCTCTCACCCTTACACTGTAGAAACTTTTAAATGTAGCCGTCTCTTCTACTCCAATAGCTTCATACCTCGCACCTCTGGCCTGTGGAACACCCTTCCCAATTACTGCTTCTCCAACTATTCAAATGTAATGTCAATCGACATCTCCAGTTACCTTGATCTACCCACTATCCTTCTTCTCATTCTTTCTTCTATCACTCCTATCTGCTCTTGCTCCAAATCTTCTGCAACCCCCTAGTGGCTTCACAACTTGCTCTGGGCGTAATGCTTAAAAAATGTCTTGAAGCCTTTTAATTAAAAAAACCCCAAACAAACAAGCAAAAACGATGTAAAAAATGTGTACTGTTTATGTTTATGTGTACTGTGATCTTTTGATTTGGTAGACTGAGAACGTTGCGATAGGCTTGCAGTCATTGATGATGACCAAATTAAAATGTTGATTGCAAATAATTCCGATTATACGGTACGGGACAAAACGCAGAGATAATCTGCATATCTAATATGGACATTGTAAGCTATTTGAAAACAACTTGATACAGGAATCGTTATGATATTTGGATGCCTTCCGATTTAACGGGAAAAATGAACTGCATTTTTATTGGCTATTTTCTGATTAAACTTAACAAAAACGACCCTTTTTTATAAGGACAATCGAAGGCGTTGAAAAATGGATTGTTTAAAACAACTTGGAACGATAAAGGTCCCCAGTAAAACGAAATAAGCCACATTAATCATTGCAAAAGTGGGTCTGCATCCGTATAAGGTGATGCTATATATGTGGTGGATCAAAAAGGAATTGTGAATTACGAGTTCCTGCAAAGGACATTTAATTCAGACACGTACTGTTCCCAATTAGACCGGTTAAATTCAACAATCGATGAAAAGCGTTTGAAACTGGCCAATCGGAATGGCGTCGTCTTCTGTCAGATCTCACTCCTTTTATAGGCCTGGCAAAAATTTGAATAGCTTGATATTTCAGTCGAAATAATATCAGCCATACCACCCCCCGGCCTTATACATTCGGATCCACATTGATTACATGATCTGTCTATGATATTCTTAGTATTTGTCGGCAAAACCATATCTCTGTTGCTTCTTCATTGCTGAAGAAATTTTCCAGCTTTTACTATTACATAGGAGCGTTAATTAAACAAGACTTATCATAAACACTTAAATCGGATGTTCTGAAACGAATATTTTCATTTCGCATCCAAGTCGAAACTATTAAGTTTGAACCGTTTCTGAGATAGAACGACGGTCTATTTTTTGTCACATATTTTCATTATTTTTTACACGGAAATTATTTTTTACTTTTTGAAATAAACTTGAAATTCGGGTTAGTAGTTAGTACTGCACACATTACTGGTAAATACACTAAAAATTTTGGACGCAGGTGCCCACCAAACGGGTACAAACGAGTAGATTTTTTTTTTTTTCATCACTCCCTATTTCGATCCGAACAACATTTTCTTAAGGAGAACAACAATAATTTTCTGGAAGCCTGTAAAAACAACTTAGACTAGTTCATCATCCAGAAAGATGCCAAGATCTGGGAGGATAGAATCATGAAGCTGCCTCAAAGATAGCGAAAGTTAGTCGAACAGGACTGCACATATATAGTTGACTGATTACGGCTTATCAAGACATTGCAGATTATTTAAAACCAGGAATTATTTTTAAATTCTAAGAATTTCTTGAGATAATAATGAATAAAGTCTTAGTAATTAACTCATAGCTGAGAGAATAGGTTAATTCATAACTTTCCCCGGAATATTTGCGCGTAAGTGAATATAACGAACCCAATTGGAATTGGAACTCGGAATTGGAATTAACAATTCCGAGCCATTATTCATTGCACCATCTGCACATCCAAGTTTACGGCACCTGGTATCCCCAAGCGGTCACGCATCCAGGTACTAACCCTGGCTCAACATTGCTTAGATTCGCTGATCGTACGGGAACCGGCGTTGCAGCGTAACGCGACCGTAAGCCTCTATGGGGGATTGGTGGATGTCTAAGCGTAGCTTAAACGTGGCACAAGGCCGAAAATAGAAGACACTCAGTGAGGATCAAAATCACTATTCAGTCGCAATTGATCTAGCAAGACAAGCTTAAACAAGTTAGTAACTTTTCCAACTCAGTATATATATATATATATATATATATATATATATATATATATATATATGTATTTAAGAATTAAAACATAAGTTTGTTATAACATCACTACCAAAATAGCCATTTTGTTTCAACACTTCTGGTGTTTTGTCAAGTGATGGTGTTGCAAATAAAATAAACAGTTTGTGATCCTGGGTTTCACGCTTTTGTGATCATCAGACCTAGGGTCACAAACTCACATCAATCCAACTAAATATGTTAGCTCTATCTCTAATATTGAGCGCTTTCCGCGCATATAATATATAAATAATAATATATTACATATATATATATATATATATATATATATATATATATATATATATATTTAGAGGTAAAGGCGGGGAGAGATAATGACAAAAAAAAGAAAAAGAAAAGAAAACGAGTTATCGATCAACCAGAGTAGACTTTCAAATATGACATTTTTCTCAACAAAATTAAAATCTTAATATTGTTAATGATCAATGGAAATGATATATTAATTCAGGAAAAATTAACTTTTGTACAGAGGCCTGAGGCCTTTCACCTCATAAATAAATTCCTGATAAAAGAAAGCCATCTTGAAATCTTTTCTATCGCCTGCTATCGGGCGATTGTTGGCGGTTTCAGTTCTTTTTTTCATTTATTTGCAAAAGTTGTCCTTGTGCTAAATTTGATCTAATCAACAAATAACTGAATTTCCCAGTAAAAAGATCTTTATAGAGAATAATGTATATATATAATCTATAAAACATGACTTTTTATGTTTATCGGTCACGCAGCCTGATTTCCTTTACTTTAGTATGAATTATCTGTTTTTTTTTTCGATAAAAGAAGGCATATAGCAATAAGAGAACATAATATAACAACGGAATATTTCACTAATATTTGGTGGAACAGGCTGCCAGTAAAATTAATTTTTATTTCTTTAATTTAGCCTTAGATTTATTTGTATATTTTTTAAAACTTTTAATGCTTTCAAAAGCAGAATTCATTTGTGACAAAAGAATTAAGTTTACAAAGAAAAATTAGATATTGCTCATGCAGAAAATATATTGTGTGTTAGGTTTATAGACCACTGGGTTATCTCATGTCGAAATCAGATTTTTAAAAATATAATTGAGTTTATAGGTAAACATTAACCAGGTTTATACTTGAAAGTACCGTTATAATCTAGCAATGGTTATTTTTTTATACTATTGGTCAACATTAGCCATATTTATCAATGATCTTGTCGGTAAACATTCGCCATGTATATACATGACTCTATAAGTAAACATTGGTTGTGTTTATACGCGAGACTATAGTCATACACTGACCATGTTTGTAATTGAGTCTATTGAGGTAAACATTGGCTACGTTTATACACGAGTTTTTAAGTAAACCATTTTACATCTATTCTTGTCTTTGTTCTGCGGTCAATGCACGCAAAGTTCACTTGCTGCTTCTCTTTCCCTCGGTATGTCACGTGAGTGTTCAATTCTCTCTTTTTGATTATAGGTCCCAGAAATTTCATTCGTTTCTTTACTTTTACTAAATGTTCATCCAATGCAAGACTCAAGATTCATTCAACCTATAAGGTTATTGTATGTACTTAGAGTAAACGTAGGATAAGTAATTGTTAATTCTAGAGTTGGACAGGTTAAGATTGTAATGTTTGGGCAAGCATTCTCTCTCGTGAATTTTGCATAAAATAGCGGCTCTTGTGAAAAAGCTGTCCGAGTAGAACCCCCTCCTTAAAAATGGTATACGAAGAGATTGAGGTTGGCTCGCCACTGTGTATATGGCATGGCGGGTTTTACCAGTAAAGGTCTGAACTGGGGGAACCAGAGAATGTTTGTTCAGAATATTTTCCATGGAAATAGCGACAGAGTAGCGAGATGTTAGGTCTGTTGAAGATTTCTCTTAAGATTTCCTTATTGCACGCTTATTGTGTTCATTGTATTGTTAGCATTCATTAGTAGAGCCATATCTTTATCGTTTCAAGTCTTTTGTTCATTTGTGAGAAAATCTAACAGCATTTACTGTCATATATGGAATTGGATATGACATAACTGTTTAGCAATCTTTCCACATTTTGTGACCCAGACATTTCAGTTGTCTCTTTCTGATTGTAAGTATAAGTTTAGTTGTTCCTATTTTACTTAAGACTTTCACATTGATTACATGTTATATCCATGATAATCTTAATATTCGCCGGCAGAACCATATCATGCTTCTGCATCGGCAATGAAATTATCCAACATTTACTACCATATAGGAGAGTTAATTAAACATGAACTATCATAAAAATTTAAGTCGGATGTTTTGAAACGAATCTGTATGTTTCGAACTCAACACTAAATGATTAAGCTTCTACCGTTTCTGAGCTCGTCTGCGAGTTACCGACTATTTATGTCAAATCTATCACATATTTTCATTATTTTTTTTTACACAGAAATGATTCGTTACTTTTTAAAATAAACTTGTAATCTGGGTGTCAATCGTTCGTAATGCCAACATTATTGGTAAATACACTGAAAATGTTTTTCTTAACTCCTAAACGGCGGGAAACTTTTGTACGCAATTGCTCACGAAACGGATGTGAAGGAGAAGATTAATTATTAAAGGCTTAGGTTTTATGCTTGTTTTCGTTTTAATTATTTACAAAACGATAAAGATTGTCGAACTCTCACTGAAGTTAACACCAGCTACTGTAAGCTTGGGTGTACGGGTGGTGTAATGAATTATGGCTCGGAATTGTTAATCGGAGAATCGAGTTCCAATTCCCGTTGGGTTCGTTATATTCACTTACGCACAAATACCACTGGGAAACGTATAAATACACCTCTTCTCCCCCAGCTATGGATTAATTAGCAATACTTGTATCATTAATCCATTATTATCTTTCCCTGCAAAAAACAAATTCTTACACTTTATAAATATTTCCTGGTTTTAAATAACCTGTAAAGGGTTGACAAACCGTAGAAAATAATTCGATCAATCAATCAATAAAAGTTGTTTTTTTTAGATTATAAAATAAGGAAAAGGAAAATGAAAAATATGAGGTTCCTAAATTTAATTTTTATTTTAACTGTTTGATACATTTCGATACACATTTCATGGATTTTGTGCATTTTTGTACCATTTTTCGTCTCTTTGACGCGTTTTCCAACTTTATTTGCGGGAAATACCATAACTTCCTGAACTCTAGTTAATAGTAACTGGATGTATTGTAGAGTTGTTAATTAGTCATTTACACTCGAACTATGTATGAATGATACGTGTACTGTTGAAAAAAAATGTTTAAAACATAAAGTGATGATGTCCGCTGATTGCCAATAAAACGTCAATTGATGATGTCCGCTGTTTAAGGATCAATATTCCACGATGAAATGAAAGGGGTCTTATATGCCTGTGGGTAATGTGCAGAACAAGTAGCTTAAATAATAATGTTTTACAGGGCGCAATATGAACCTTTCTAAAAATCGACAGGGTTTATTTTCATCTTATTTTTATTACTTACCTGTAATTTCTTTCTGATATTTATTTCTTAATGTCCACGGAATATAAAAACGACCTAAGCAGGGCGATAAAAATGGATGAAAATAAGATGAAAGTTTACTAGTCAAAAATGAGTAATAATGAGGTTGCTTCATCTCGGACAACTTAAGACTATACTATTATGATCCTGTTACATCATTAATTATCTACCTTGCAAAATGTGAATCTAACGCCGACATATTTATTCAACATTTAGAAACATAGCCTTAAAGGTAACAATATATAGATCTCATACCAGAATTGTGTGGTTTCAATCAGAATTTAATCATGGAGAGCAGGAAGAAGTCGCAGGGTGAGATCATAAGAATAGAAGACTGAGAAACACGTCATTGGAAATCTGTGGAATAATGACAGATATGTAGATAGGTACCTTGACATTATTAATCCCCTGGTCACTGTATTTGATTCGAATGTTTCATTGAAAGCTCAGAGTTACAAAAAAGTAAATCCAAAAACACATACAAAAAAAAAATGACAGAATTCTTTACTGAAAATGACTTGATGTTTACAAAGATTAACATTGATTATGACGCTCAGTAAAAGACCGCGTTGATTTTGGTCACTTCTAGTAGGACGATATCTGCTTTGTCTGAGAATCTTCGCCATAAATTCATTACCAATGGTTATGATCTTGGTGATAAAGTTGGTGGCATCTCAGGTTTAAACTCTTAACAACAATGCGTTTTTGCTTCGTCGCTGAATAATTTCAACAAAAGTTTTTCAGCAATTTGAACGATCGCGTTTAGCAACCCAACGATGCCAGAAAAAGTGTGAATAATTCTCCTACGATCCGTCCTGATATTTTCAATCAAGACCGTGATATTTTCGAGCGTTTCATTGTCATTAACAAACGCCCTTAAAATGTTTCGACCACGAAATAGTTTTGCTGCAGCTTATGACATGAGAACCAAGAAACTTCCGTCAGCATTTAAAGGGGATCTGCAGCAGTTTCCGTTTCGAAGTTAAAGCAAGATTTGCTGCGGATTCTCTGCTCTTTAATATCTGCCATTACAGACTGGAACGAAGACCACTAAACGTCAACATTATAAAAGCTCTTATAAGAACTCAGGTCGTCAGTTTGGTTACTGTTGGAATATTGGCTCACAAAAGCTACTGATAGTTTCTATTTATTTATACCGAACAATAGACGCATTAGTGCCTTACATATGGACTTGTACATGATTCATTTGAGCTTAATATCTGTCTATCTAAATCATTAAGTAACTTCACAGCAATAACTGTTCATATCTATCACACTATTTATATCTATCTATCTATCTATCTATCTATCTATC